ATAGATTATGTGTTAAGATGGATGAGAATCACACACAGAGGAATATCTGAAAAGCTATTAATTTTTAAAAGAAAAAAGAGTTTAATAATATTTGAATTATTTAGAGCCCCGAGCCTAATAATTAGGCTTATTATTGTTATTATTAGAAATATTAAAAATACCACAGTGGAATATTAGTAGAAATGGACTAGGAATCTGTGGGAGCTATCACATTACTTTGATCGTGCAATGACATACCAATTACTGAAATCCAAGATCAAATAAAAAGAGAAAGAGACAAATAAGATAGGAACAATCATTAAGCAAACAAACAGTTAAAAAGACTCTAGAATCTTATACAGGTACAAGAATAAAACGTGGATTTTCAGATGGAAAATAACAAAGATTTAGAAGATTGGAAAATGCAGTGTTTTTTTCTGAGATGGTAATAAGAGAGAAACTTTATTAGCTAAGTATGCTACGTGGGGTAAACAATAAAGAAGACTCAAGGAAGAATAGCATTTCACAAAGGTCTTTTCAGTCCTATAATTAAAACTTAAGCAGACAGGCTCCAAAAACATTATAAGAGAATTCAGAAAGTGAGAGGAAAATTGGACTTCATTCAAACAGGTAAAAAAGAAAGAATGTCAAGATATATACAGCACAAATTTTATGGAAAATAAATGACGAGACAGATCCTTAGTTAGAAAGTTACAGAAAATACAGACAGAATGCAATCCCAGTCACTGGGGACAGTAAGGGATAAGTGGTAACTAGTCCAGAAAAGAGAGAAGACACTTCTGGAAAATTTTTATGAAGGATCCCATGCCCTAAATTACAAGGAGTTATAATTTCTATATAATCCAAACAGGAAAATTTAGTTAGAAAACAGAAAGATATTCCTCCTATTCCCTCACATTCAGGAAAGACAGCAAAATATCCTGAGGAAGATCAAGTGTAGGAATTTTATATGTTTAATAACAGGTTGAACACAGACACCACCCCCAGACTACAAGAAATGTTAATTCCCATATTAGTAGGCTAATTCACTGTGATAACATAATGAAGGAAGAAGAATTTTACTGCCAAACATAGAGAGAAGCCGCATCAACTGATCAATCATATAATACACTTCCATATTTTAACCACATTTTTTGTTGGTGGGGATTGGTAATTAGCAATGTTCATCCACGTTAATTAAAAGCTACTGGGGGAAAAAATTCCAGGTAACTAACAGCCACAAAGTCTCAATTTAGAAAAGAGTAAGCCATATTTGTTAGCAGAGCTTAACTCTGGAAATAAGTTGAAGATCTGCATTATTCTGCTTTATTTTATTGAACTTCTATACAAGTGGACAGAGTTGCATCAGGAAGGTTGGCAACCACCATCCTGTCAACAGATTGTTTCAAGTATGAGATGTCCAGACACAACGACTGGGGAGCATCACGAAGTGAAGAGCAGGAAGGGCGGACTGTGTCCGGATAGCCACGTAGTTCATATAATCACAGAATCACAAAGGTAGGAAAAGACCTCTAAAATCATCCAGTACAACCATCCACCCATCACCAGTATTTCCCTCTAAACCACATCCCTTAGTACAACATCTAAACATTTTCTGAACACCTCAAGGGACAGCGACTCCACCTCCCTGGGCAGCCCATAGACAAGTTTTTCCTGACCTCACCTGGCACGACTTGAGGCCATTCCCTGAAGTCTTATCGCTATGTACACAGGAGAAGACCTTCACCTCACCACAACCTCCCTTCAGGCACTTGTACAGAGTGATAAGGTCTCCCCTGAGCCTCCTCTTCCCCACTCGATCCCAGTTTCCTCAACTGCTTCCCACAAGATTTGTGCTCCAGACCCCCTCACCAGCTTCATTACCTTCTCTGAACATGCTCAGGGCCCTTCTTGTAGTGAGGGACCCAAAATTGAACACAGCACTCAAGGTGCAGTGTCACCAGTGTTATGAGTACAGAGGGATGATCACCTGCTGCTGCTGCTGGCTGCACTATTTCTGATACAAACCAGGATGCCATGGACCTTCTTGGCCACTGATGGCTCATGTTTAGCTGAGCATCAGCTGACACCGCCAAGTCTATCTCTTCCTCACAGTCTTCCAGCCACTCTGCCCCAAGGCTCTAGTGTTGTATGGGGTTCTTGTGACCAAAGTGTGGGACATGTTTAACATATGATGTTCAAGTTCAGTCTACATTAATAAAAGCTTCAAAAGATTTAGAATCCTTGGACAGAACAGCAAACACTAAAAATAAAATAGTCTCATAACAGGTTTTATACATTGGTTTTCTGATGTTCACAGAATTACAGATACCTGAGTGACATGCCACTTGACACGCTTACCAAGCGTTTCCTGTCACACTCATCTAGATGAAAGAGTCTGAGAGTGCAAGAATATTATAAAGAACTTGAAAGATTGCAAAACTTTCTTCCTCCAAATACAAGTAAGTCAATAACTCAGATAAAGCTGGTATACAAAAATGTAGCTTATTTATTCAATGATGTGCAAGAAGAATACTACCAAAAATGTTTTTTCGAGTCAGTGGTAAAGAGAAAACCTGTTTTCCTTTTTTCCTCCACCTGGTCATTCCACAGTCTCTTTGGTGAACATGAAAAGCTGTTTTTCCCTCATCATCTATGTTTAAAGTATGGAATTCCTCCTTAAGGTTTAACAAATATGCTAGGCCTTCATTTGGGGCATGGCAGAGGTTTCTTAGTTAGGAGACCTTTTCACATAGAAAGATACAGAATCTTATCAATGTGTTTCTGGAAGTAATACCTGAGTGAAAGTTTTCCATCTTCAGTACCTTCATACTGAAATTTTATAAGAATAGAAATACATCAGTAGACTTGAGTTTTTGACTAACTGGATACATGGAAACTCCATAAGACATGGACTCATTTCTAAATATACATATTGTAATAAAAGTAGTAGTGGATGGAAAGACTACACCACTGAAAAATAGGAAAGATAGCCTGGGGGGGGATAAGAGAGCTTTAAGCAATATGTATAAACACATCACAGATGGTACCTGCCTCCAAGTACAATTCAATATATATTATCCAGTAATGCTGCTGGAGATACCACCAGACAAAATCTTCTTTTACATATGACACTGTGTCAGGTCCAAGTTCTTATTGGAAGTAACAAGAAGAATAACAACTGTGATGGATGATAATATCCTATTAGACTCGCTTGTTTGATTTCTGAATGATCCCTTTAAGGACATTCAGGAGGTGATGAAAGAAAAATACTGCATTTGTTATGGAAGCGGTTAGACTCTGTATTTGCCTATGCAAAGGCAAATCGTCTTCTCAATCCTCTCCCCATCACTAAAAAACAATGAAATATGTACAATAAAATATGAGGTCTTCTCATGATGAATAAAAATTTACTATCAGTTTAGATTTTTAGAAAAGAAGCAAGAAAAAACATCATTTCTTATTTGGACAAAGAACAAAAACTGACCAGCTAGCAAATGAGACACACTGAGTATCAGATGGGGAAAAACAGTAACAAAGGTTTTCTGTCTTTCCTTTTAAATGTGGCTATACTGACAGTTGATAGGATTCTCACTTCCTAAGGACTATTGCAAATCACCACCACAATTGCCTTGGCATGGCAGGAATAATTTACACCTCATAGAATTGCTGTGCAAGTTTGCTTTTTCAGTGACCTAATAGAAAAAAAAGACATACTTCTTTCTCAAACAGTAAAGGTTAGAACTGTACAAACAAGGAAGAGATATCTTAGAGTCTTCTTTCCACTAAGGGGAGGGCTTGCCACTTTTAAGTTGTACTGAACCTTAAACAAAGCAAAAACTGGCAAGTGAACACATGCTAGATACAGGGTACAAATTCTGTTATGAATGATGTTGGATAAGGGTTTCTATGACCTGCTCCAGCCTTCTAGGGTAATTCACAATACTAACAAAGAACAGAGAAGCATGGCTGAATTCGGGTAAAGCTTACTGCTTACCAGTGTGCCACACACTAGAAGCATGGACTACAGAAGTTGCAAGAAGGATAAAGATGGTCAAGAAATGTTACACACCTGTCATCAACAACACTTTTCTTACTTTGAAAATCATAGACATCATATACTTGAGTAGAACAACTGAGAAATTTTTGTGTTAGCAGACAAGGTGGTACCAGATGTTTGGAAGAGGTGAAGCAGCAACTATGCATGGACTGGACAGAGATTAAAAGAGGCCTGATTTTCTATAATCTCAGAGCCTGTGCAGGATGCTAGGATACAACTGGGCACCCAGGAAACATTTGCTTTGGCTTTGTAAGTAAATAAATCTAAGATATGATGTTGTGTTCTTATTATCTTTGTATCTCTGCTCAAAAGCATATTCTGCAAGAGCACTACATACAGTAAATAAAACAGCCTTAGATGAATTATTCATCGTGCATCTGTATCTACTCATTATTCTTCTAAAAGGAAAATAACTCGCTTCCAGGATCCAAAAATTGTCTATCTGCTCAGAAGTTGTGACAATATTATTTTTGCTTTCCCCTTCAAAACACAAGAAAGTCTGTGTATCAACTTGAAACACAGGCTGAAGCCATATCCAGAATAGAGTGTGACATCTTTGTTTTTATACTCTAACCAAGAACTAAAACCACAGACAAATGTGTTCAGCTACAGAGGGCAGGTTACCTGATACACAAGAAAGAAAGAAAAGTGAAGTCCAAAGAAAACTAGCACAAAAAAATTTAGCTTCGCCATCCTTCAGACCTCACCCACACAAGTACACCTACAGAACAAGCAGCAATTCACTCCTAGAAGGCTTTGGCTCCAGGCAGACCCCTTGAGGACTAAGCTCTCCTGCTCCCACCCTGATGCCAAGAAACACCTCCCTCAGTAAGAACAGACAGATACAAGGGAGGCACCAGCTAGCCAAGCTTTCTGATGACTGTGCAGTGAGGATTTATTTTTAATTCTTTTACTCACATCTACTTGTGACAGACATTTCAGAACAACTCTACACACATACCTTCCTTCATTCGGTGCATTTCGGCTTCTACAGTGATCTGGACACAATAAACCTCACGGGTTTGTATGCCACCTCCACAAAGCACTGCATGCTTACGATGTCGAGGGCTCTGCTGGTCGAAGAGAGACACTTGGCAAGCTTTCCATTCAGAAGTCCTCCAGGAAAACCTTTGGGAAAAAGAGAGACCAAGTAAAACAAGAATGATTTTAGAAAAAACTATGGGTGAGGAGGTGCTAGTTCATTACTCGGCAAAATACAATTGGTTTAATATTTATGGTAGCACTCCCGTGTTCAAAACAGGGAATGTTCTGAAACATTCTGAAAGTTAAATATATGAAGGTTAAGTATTTGTTATTAGCCTGTAGTACTCATGTAAACTTTTCACATAGCACTGATCTCTGAAGTGTTCACAAGCACTAAATCATTCTGACAACACCTTTGAGCAGGATGCAAAAAAGGAACGGAAATTAAGGGGTTCGATTAAGTGTGAAAATGAGTTTTCAAACATGTGGCTCCAACCACTATACCACCTTTCTCAACCAAGAGCTGAACACGTCATTCTAAAATGCACTTAATAGGTAAAACCCTACGTATGTCAATGAAGCTCCAAGCACCAAGCAGCTTTTCTGTAGGTGACAGCTTTGCAATGGCCTAGGGTACTATCAATTTCTCCAAAGGATTGCCTGTGGTAACTCAGTTCTATTGCTTTCCTTTTCAGAAGTTGTGATACGCAGCAAGGTCTGTTTTCATTCTGTATTCAGTTCACACCTAAAGAGTATAAATGGTTCTCAAGAAAGGATAACATTCTTGGGCACAGGTATGTGAATGCTGTATTGACAATCAGCATTATTAATTATCAGCCTAAATGCCAAGAAGAACTTATTAAAATCACAGGGGAAGTAGCATGGGGAACAACAGAAAGCAAAAACTATTTCTCATCATGTCCAAAAACAGAGCACTTTTCTAACACAGCAGCTTTCACATAGGAAGATCATTTTAATTAACAGATCACAGTATCGGTGTGGTAAGGTAAGTAAGAGCTCAAAGTTTTCCTTCCACTTTCTGAATCTTAGCCAATATTATTCCTGTGATCAAACTGTTTACACTTCTGCCATTTCATTCCTTTGCCCCTCTGTATCTCACAGTTCTCTTTTTCCATACAAACTTCACTGTTCCAAAATATGTAAAATAATTTCCTTCTTTTAGCTTCAAGCCAAATACTATGGCAGATGTACAGTTGTTAAAAACTCTGTGCATTTGCCTGCTAACTGATCGCTGCCAGCTCAGCACAACGGGGCGTCTCTGTTCCATCTTGCAGTCTTTGTATTCTGTACTGCAAATATCCATTCCCTGACTACAGCTATGGCAAGGACAAGAGCATCTCAAAACTACATGAAAAATAATGACATTATTTTGCCTGAGCACATACCAATATTCTCACAACATGTTGCATTGCAAATTTGGGCATAAGAATTACTTTTAGCCCCAGAGCACTTACAAATTTTGTAAGATACTAATGGAAAACATTTGTGAACACTGCCACTTACTTTCAATTTACAGGTACTTTTCAGATGAGCTGTCAGGCTCTCTTAATTAATACACAGTATCGTGTGCAAATTTGGATACGTTCACAGGGTTTAGTGACAGCAGAGGAAACAAAACAGAATACCCTTTTCACACAACCAATATGAAATAACTGAACTCTAGCAACATATAAAGCACAGCCATGGATTTTTGTTATAGTGCTCTGCTTGTGGAATTCCTAACTGCATTTTTTTGGGCATGCAGTGTTAAATGCTAACTTCTTGTTATAATAAAGACGAGCGCTATTTTTCATCAAGCACTGGGCACAGAAAAATTCCTCCTCCACAGCACCTCAGGACATTGTGCTGCTCAGGTCTGTATTTCACAACCAGAAGCCTAAATATAGAACACACATCTTTTCTGAGCTATGGCAATACTTGTTATAGGGTAGTGTTTCTTAAAATAATCATTGACTAAAGAAAAGCTCATTATTAATATGTGGGCTTAGGGAGTCAGCTGTGAATTCTGGATCTCACAGACTCATTTCCAAAGGTGCAAGCACCTGCTTCCCCTATTCAGAGCAAGCAGTGGGACTTAACATCTACGAAAATTAGGCCATCAATGATTAAAATTATGCAAAATAACTAAATCTGAGCTCAGAGATAATTAAACCTCATCAGCTTCTGAATCTAAAAAAAAATCCCTGTAGATATCTACACAGAGTAACCAAATCTCTGCTGCACCGCAGAGCAGTATTTAATGAGCAGCCGTCAGGTGCAACTGCCAGCACTGGTTCTTCTGCAAGCAGCTTGAAAACTAAATCCTTATCAGCCCATCTTGCTTTCTCCCAGCTGGGCATGCCCTAAGCTGCCTGGAGCTTTCTGGTAACAAATCCTGACCCCAAGCATTAGCTGTTTAAAAGGTACACGTTTTCACAGCCATTAACAAGTCAACTACACTAGAAACATATCTGACATATTGTTATCCCACTGAGTGCAAAACCTGTCTCTACAGAAGGAAGCAGTGCTCTTGGACAGCTTCTGATGGACTCTTTGCCAGGTTTTATGCAGCTGACACTTGCTATCAATTTGCCCATCTATGGGCTGTTCTAGAGACAAGGAGACTTAGCACTGCTGAAAGAAAAAATGACTGCATAATCTCCATTCAAATTTAATCAGAAGCTTGTTAATAGCAGTTAATAGCAATTGACAAAGAGCAGAGATTACTGAGATTTCTTACAGGGAAACACTTGGGCTTCCTCTTGAATCTTAACCTTTGGATAGTACTTGCAGGTTACTAGCAGTACCCACTGTAGTGTTACCATGTGACTGATTTCTCCAAAACATGACACCCAAGCCCACAGTTACATTGTTAGAGCAGACCTGATCAAGGTGCACTGTATCAGAACTAGGCTCAGGGGATAACACCACTCCACTACTTTGTTCACTGTCTCTATAAGAGCACAATAAACCACAAAGTGAAAGGGATGCATTTGAATCAACAAGACAGGCCAGCTTCAATGCATCTGTGTGATTCCTATGCCAAAACCTGTGAGTGGTGACAAAAATGGTAATAGATTCAACACCAACTCCTTTCAACATCTAGTTAGATGATTTGATGAAAACCCAGTATAACTGCAGTCCCAGCTGTGACCCTAAGCCTATTAAAATGGCTAATAACAAAGATTTGTATTTGTTTTTGACTTTCCAATAGGCTTGTTCCTTTTTTTTTTTTTTTTTTTTTTTTTTTTTTTTTTTTTTTATGACAGTGTTTCAGTTACAGTAGGTCTGATTACTTCCAAAGACTGACAGTCACCACCACCAATGGTTGGAGTGCTGGTAGAGAACACCTAAAATGGGAACCTCCAGAATCCACATGCAGTTGTGTCAGTTTGCTTAAGAAAATGGGCAAGCAGGAGCTGCCTGGGGTATCTAGGAAGAGACTGGACTGATAAAGTCAAGATTTTCACATCATAAGCAGTGCTTGCTAACCAGTCAGCTGGGGAAGCAGAAGAGGTGTTTCTTTGTGTGTCTGCTATGATCAAAGCAAAGTGAGCTCTCGCACTGCAACAGTCAGCATCAGCCACAGGAGAAATGCCCAACCTGGGGCTGGAGAACTACAGCTGCAACACAGCTTGTTCTGGATCAGAGGGGAGGCAACAAGGCTGTCCAGACAAACCAAGGGCAGCTCGGGGTGCCAGAGACCAGGGAAGTTCAAAGGGCTGGAGAGTGGTGCTGCCTCCACTCCCAACGTGCAATCCCAGCAGCATACCAGCTGAGTTCTGAGAGCTTCCGTTCACGTCTTCCCACTTCACACTAATACCTTGCCTTTAATTAAGACATATAATGAGCCCTACAATGTGATAGCATCACACCCATATCTCAGCAGTAATCTCAAGCCTTTTGTAAAAATCAGGTCTTAAAATTTTCCCATTTTCCATCATTTAAGTTCCAAAAAGCTTTGAATTTCCAACAAAAAGAGAGGGTTTGTGTTTTTTTTTTTTTTTTTCTAAATCCCTGTCTTGTAACATAGCAACCACACCAAAACGAAAGATTGAAAGACATAATAATAATTCTGGAAAATCTATCTATTCCCACTGAAGATGTAAGCTACGCATCAAGGATACAAGTGATATAAAACATTGTTTTAAAACTGATGACTCAGTGACAGCTATGTAACAAACAACTGCTCAATGTCTTCTCGATTTATAGTAACCTCTTGGTCTCTGCAGTCTCTAGGACTTATCCTCTTAGTGCTGAAACGAGTTTTATACCTATACATGCCTGTTCTCTTTAATTGAACTACCCCAAATTTATATGACAATAAAGGAGGTAGGATCACCTCGTATGTGTTTAAGCTTTCTAAGCCCTTAATCTAATCCTTTTAGAATAAATAACCAAAAGTAAAACAAAGTACAAAGCTCAGGAGCCCTACCTGCACTTAAAATGCTTTATTTTCTTGTATTTAAACTATTGATTAAAGAGGTTATAGTAAACTTCAGCCTTAAAATTAAAAGGCCTCCCCATTAAAAGTGAATTTAATACCAGTATCGCATACCTGCGATGAGACCTTTAACCTGCAGCCTTGCCATGGATGGGAACATAACTTCACCCACTTTCCTCTGCTGAAAAGAAAGCTGTAGGTACCACCTCCTGAACTGCTGCTTTTCCACGTGGGTGGATGTGGAGGATGAAGATGTGGGACACAGTCTGAGAAGCACACATTCATTCAGTCAAAAGGTGACTGCTGACCTTCCAGTGAAAAATAGCCACTAGAGGAAAATGCCTCTTTCTCTTACACAGAGACGTGCTTTTTCTGGCCAGTGTTCTCACCCACTGTCTTTGGCTTGACTGGAGCATGATTGGGAAAATCCTCACCAAGAGAACAAAATTTAAAGAAAAGAATACTTCCAGTCACCGATTCTCAAACTCTGAAACCAAATTACTGTAGAATGTAATGCGGACAAACAATACCCTATGCCAGTGCTGATGCTTAAATAACAGATTTTAAAATGATTGATTTCATAGCATAAAGCTGTGAGCCCCAGAGCCATGCAACTGCATGTACCACAATGTAGCAGCTTCTCATTCCTGCTTGTTTCTGAGGTACTGAATGGACAAATCAAAGTCTACTAACCAGAAAGCAATCATAAAATTCTCTGTAACATTGCTTAGTGAAAGAAGGTCAATCTATCACTTGCATTTTGAGATACTACATCCCTAGAAATTAATATTAACTAAATACCAGAGATTTTCTTGCTATGTTTTCTGGCTAAGTGGTTCTATTAACCTGTAAGTCCCATGTTACTGTTCCAGGCCAGCTTATTAGACAGTTTATCCTATTTCACAGAGATACTCTACTGTAAAGGTTGCCTGAAGGACTGAAGATGTGCAGGTGTGGCAGAATGAGGAATGTTTATGAGTTCATATTCTCATGAAAACCATGGCATAGCAGCAATACACTGAAAGAACAACAAGTTTCCTTCTGTATCACAGGAGGCACCACAAGAAAGTTATCAGCATTATGCAGATCCTCACATTTCGGTCTCTCCTGGCTCTACATCAAGACCTGACAATCTGCACTTTAATATAGTGCAGTATCAAAAAACACAAATGCTGAGAAACAAGGGGCAGACACGTTCTGCTCACTCCTGATCTGCTACCAGCTGGCATACCCCAATCAGGTGTCACCTGCACGCACACTCCTATACAAAATCAGCGAGACAATGTGTTAATCTATTGTCTTTGAAATTGGTGTGCATCTGGGCAGGAGCAAAAATCACTCTTCAAAAGCCTTTTCACAGGATGTAATCAAGCAATGGAATTTTTTTTTATATATACTTTCTCTCCTTCACTAGCAGGGTGCATTAAAATGTTCAGCATTTGATTTGAATGAATTCAACAATACAGTGACACTTTCACAGGTTACACTTTCCTAGAAAATGTCTCTTGCAAAAGTGTTATCAAAGCTTTTGGCAGTACCTGGCAAAGCACCATAAATTCACAACTTGATCACTGATTAGTCCTAATAAACAGAGTTATTCACAGGGAGATCTGTCTACATGTGCACAAAATCTTAATCTTGAAGCATTTTACAGTCAATCTCAGAACGCAAAATTAAGCTATATTTTATTTTCTTTGCAAAGCAAACAATTTCCCCTCCAGGCTAGCCTGGCCAAGCGCTATGGCACAGATCTGCACACCAGAAAGGTGAGTTCCTTACCTTCTGTCAGAACAAAGAGGGCCATAAACCAAGCAAAAACTTGGGGGCTGTGAGGTTTTCCAGTTTAAAAATATCCAGATGGAATCTGAGACTTGCTCTTTACCAAGCTGCTATCTCTGAACAGTTCCCATTTTCCTTATGGAGGACTGGGATTTTGCATGGGGAGATAAAGGGGAATCATTAAATCTTATGTAAAATTCGTGGCTGCAAGCCCAATAAAAGCACAGCCATGGAGACCTGCCCAGCCTCTGTGCAGCTGAGGAAATTCTCCAAACCAGCAATACGTAGAAAAGCGCTTTCAGTGAACAAGAGTATCCGCTCTCAGTTTTTAAAATATGAAAATATAAGCTGTAGTGAGTATAACTGCAATTTATTTCTATATGCAAGTGTAATCATTGTAATAGCAATAATGATAATGGAAACAATTACAAGAACATTAGCAGTAAATAAGGCAAACCATCGTTAACAATCATCAAATCAATGATCTCTCAAGCACAGATAGAAAGTATGATGTGCGACCCTGTCCATACACACACACAAACACAGAGCAAGGAAGCATAAGATCACACCAGAAGTTCAGAAAACGTGGGTTAAAGCTCAGGTACCTGGGGCAAGGCTTCAGCAGCTCTCTCCCTCCTGTGCTGCAGGCTTCCTTCTCCTCCAGCTCCGGACAGAGCTTCCCATTTCCCATGGCCACGCTCCGCACACTACGGTGCCGGCTCCGAAAGCCCGGGGTGAGATCTCCCCAGCTGCAGGTCTGTGAGCAGGAGCTCCACGCTGACCACTCAGATGTTTCACAGTCTTTATCAATGACACAGGTCTTGGAGGTCAAAGGTGCAGCATCTTGTATACAAAGGCTGAGATAAGAACAAAGTAAAACAGCTGTGGAGGTTATGCTTACAAGATCTTAACATTTTTTCAGCCCAAACCCCCAATTATTTTATCTACATTACCATATGACAAGAAGACGGTTTCCAACTAAAAGAAGGGAGATCAAGAGTGCATATAAGGAAAAGGTTTTTTATGATCAAGGATAGTGAAGCAGTGCAATAGGTTGATCAGAGATGTTGTGGATGCCCTGACATTCCAAGTCAGACTGGATGGGTCTCTGAGCACCTGCTCAAGCTGCAGACATCCATATTCAGCGAGTAGGACTAGATGAACTTCAAAAGACCCTTCCAACTTGAACAGTCCTATGATGCTAAGAAATCATAGTCACTTAAGGGTGAAACAGAAGACTTGCATCAATGCCAGTACAGTGAATATAAGAGGAGCTGCAAGGCGCACACTGCATTTCCAGAGAGTTGTGAGTGCAAACGTTGAGCCACTCGCAAATAATACACCTAATTTATTTCAAGTTGGAAAAGATGTAAATGATGCTGTGCTTTTAGATTTCACACTTTAACCATGACTGAAAAGAAAAGGCAAGCCCAGGAGAAGAGCTGCCATTGGTAAATGCCTCCATCAGCCTGCAAACACTGCTAGCTGGCCAGCATCAGTCCATCCCAGTGTCAGCACGTCCTGGTGAGCAGCTCTGCTCTTTTATGAAAGTAATTAGGCTCTCATTAACATGAAATATTCCGGTTCTGTGAGGCTGTTACCAAGCAAATGCTGTTAAACAAGGTCAGAAGGTTTTCAAACCTGACAAAGCACAGGAGACTCTGGCACGCTGCAACTGTGCATGTGTTTTTGCACTCAGTTACATTACTTAACCATTTTGATTATTATTAGGACATAATCCTCATTCATTTTGTAACACATCAAGAAAGGATCAATGCAATGGAAAAATAAAAGGAGAGCTGACAATTGTAGATGTCCGAGACTGCTCTGTCCTGCCTGACCACACAGAGTGCAGCTGCTTCTGATTCACCTCCACCTCACAGCAGCTAGAGATCATCCACCAGGTCACAAGGATGGGGGGGGGGGAATCTCTGCTGTGTCTGAGACCTCAGATAACTGGCATCAACAGAGCTGGAAAGCATACACCAAAAAATGACAGACTTACAAATGAGCAAATACATCACTGGAGCATCACAAATGATCGATCAGATGGGGGAAAAAAGGAGGGGAAAAAACAATGAAACCCACCAAAAAAAAGTCACCAGAAAAAAAAGAACTAAGAATTCCTAATTTCTGCCTAGCATTATAAGCATGACGCAAACCGCTCCCCAAAATTAAGACCATACATGAACTCAGTGTGAACTCTCTTTAAATTCGTCTCCTCCAGTTGCTCAAAGTCAGGCTTTTACCAACTGTAAGGAACAAATACATGTGCACTTAAAAGGTGTGAAATCCGGAGCTGCTGCCAAGGAACCAGTTATTACCTCACTTAATATTACTTATAACACAGTTTGACTAGGCTAACTTTCTCCACAGAAAATACTCTGGGCAATCATTTCAGGATTGCACGGCAATCTCATAGGGGGAGCGGAGAAGATAACGGGCATCCATTCGCCTCTCTTCCAATTTAGAAACTGGTCCATTTTTCACAAAAGTCAATAGGAGTATTGCCACTTACTCGTGATCAGGCTTGACTAGCTTGACTATATCCTGAATTACTAGCACAATACAGCATTTAGTGACTTAAATTTACAGGTTTTTTTGTTTGAAGTACAACAATTTTTGTCTCACTTTCATCGCGTACATAATAGCAGGATGAATCTGCTGAGGTTTAACAGCTGCATGAAGCAGGAACAGCCTCTGATGCAGCCAAAAAATTCTTCTCATTTATATCCAAAAAAGATTTCTTATGCTTCTACTACATGCCAAACACAACCAAGGCAAAGCTGTACCTGGTGCAAAACATCAATACTATTGAATGGAGGACAGAAAAGAAATAATAATTGTATCTGAACTTGTGCTGAGCCAGTGATTTGGAGACTTGGCTGGAACATTAGGTTAGGAAGAGTCACACCAACTGTTCCCTTATTTCCCTCTCAGTACTTTTTGAACACAGTAATCAGGTGAGCCAGCAGCACCACAATGGTAACAGGGAACACAAATTCCTGCTTCTAAGTAGATAAAATACTGGCAAATAGAAGTCATCCTATGTGGTTATACCAGAAAACTAGAGCCTATCAAAGAACATGGCAAGGAGGACAAGCAAACTCACATTCTAAAGAGTAACTGATATTCTGCATTCAGATACCAGTAGGAAAATCCAAATCCATTTTTGGGGTAGCACCACTGTAAATGACATATTTAAGTCTGGGTTGATCTTTGCTGAAAAACCAAAGAAAATGAAACCTTTAAAAATCTGCTTTAGGGTTTTCTTCAAAATTAACGTTGCTAATTGCTGATACTGCTATCCCCAATTCTTAGTAAGGCAAGAGTTACCACATCTGTCCAATGGATTTAAGCAGATGCTGACAAGTAGGCTGCAAAAGACATCTCTGCCCAGCAATCGCCCTTTCTATTTGCAAGGCTTTCAGGTATGGGAAGACTGAACAGCTCATTCTTTCCCTGAAAATCCCTCCACTGCTCCTGCTATAAACGGCTAGTAAGAGAACTTTGTTGACCTTAAGATGAACAAGATGTGGAGCCAGCAATTTCCTCCCTTCTGCTGGGGAAGATATTTTTGAAAGAGAATTGCACACAACTCCCTAACAGCAAGTGAATCCAATTAACTCATCCCCACTCATTCAGAGCCTCAAAGCCAAATTAACTGTGACACTAAGCAACACAAATGCAAACGTAAAAACACACTGTTCTTCTGCATGAAATTCAGACACATTCTTTCATGTCACAAATGTACTCAGAACAATCTGATACAGAGAACGCTCAAGATGTGTGAGACATCCGTTGATCTCAGCCCACAAACCTCAGTATCCAAAACTAGCAGGGAAGGAAGGAAGTCCTGACGATGGGAGACGTTTTGTGAGCCCAGTTTTTAAACTTTCCACAGATTAATGTATTCAGGTTAGAGTTTACCAGAGTAAATCTGGTAATGGTAACATTATAACGTGCTTACACATGATGCTTTCTGTGTTACAGGGCTGGACTGCTGAAGGGAAAACTGCAGGAATTGTTTTGCAATGCATGTTAAGCCAAGTTATTTGTGACAGTGTTTCCAAAACATTATTCTGGTTGAAAGGCTAAAAGCAGTCACCATTTGGTTTTTTAGTGTGCTTGTAGTAAAAACAAAGTCAACAAGATTATTCTTTTTAAATACCCCTGGAATGGAGAATCTCCTCTATTCACATTAGCTCAGGGATTCATTTCCAAGCCTGAGCACCGAGGCTCAGTCCGTACATGTGCTGGGAAGGATATGAATGCACACCTCCTCCCCCAGAACAGTCACAGCCATCACATGTAGGTGTATTGCAGCACAGCATTACCTCCTCTCAGCTGTAAAATGTTGTACTCATCTACAGAAAGTAGAAGTCTGCAGAAAGTACAAATAATTTTTCTGAGAAATGTACAGCAGCACAGTGGTTAAGTGCAATCCACTAGGAAATGGATCATGTGAATTCAAACTACAGAGGCAAACAAAAGAACTGGGTACTGCTCAACCACATCTTTGCTGGACACCTTAATTCCTTGACTGAATTCAACCTGAATTTTCACTTACAAAGGCAAAGTAAACAGGATCCCAATCCAATTCTGTTGTATCATCATCATCTTATATGCTGCATGAAGAGTTTAAGAAACACATATCTGAAAAAGATGTCTAATCCAGATGAAGGGAAAAGGGAAGGGAAGGGAAGGGAAGGGAAGGGAAGGGAAGGGAAGGGAA